GGCCTTGGATTCAACCCCTCCATTCAAAATCATCTCAATCTTCGTTCTCTGCTCCTTTAGAAATTCATTAAGACTAATTTCTCGAGTTCCATCCTCTTCCTTGGACCAACCATTTGCGTTGCTCCTTGGTGCAATTTTCTCTAAGGAACATGTAGACCTAGATATAGACCTCCTTTGAGCAGACTCCACCAAGTTCCTTGGAGGTGAAAGAGGCTTATTCTCTGGAAAAGAACAGGTGGAAGACGATATTGATCTCCTGTGAGCCGACTCAATGAGCTTTTTTGGTGGAGAAAGAATCTGGTTGTCTTGCAATGGAGCTTGAGTTTTGAGAGTTCGGCGGGAGGGCACTGGGATTCCTTGTGCGTGAGGTGCAGTTGGGTCTGCTTGGAAGCGTGATTTGCGGAAGGTTGATTGCCTAGGTGGCAAAGTGGCAGCTGCAGTTTGATCATGGATCGGGGAGGATGGTACACGAGATAGTGGTGTGTGATTGGTCGGTTTGAGGATGTTGGAGAACCATTTATGTACTGCCTCGGCAGGGGATTTATCAGTAGGAGAAGAGTTAAGTGTGTCTACAGTTTCTGAATTGTTGAGGCTGTATTTTGCTGATTTTGATAGAATTTCTCCACTGAATCCTTCCACCGGCCTGTGCCTGTTGAGACATACTCATAAATTCATATTACTGGATATAAGAAACAATCATATAATTTGATGAAACGAATGAATGTTAGATGCTAAGGAGTTGTGATCAAATACCTTCTAGCAGACCTCGAGAGAGGGTCTCTGCGTTCAACTGATGATGACGGCGAAAGCCTCCCAGGCTGTGCAGCAAACCTAGGGGAACCAACAAGGCGAGAAGGAGAGTCACCCCGAGAAGGAGATGAGGCCACCATGCGCCTAGCTTCTTCTAGCCATTCCTGAGTTAACTTACTGCTATCACTCCTCGTGCTAGAATCAAAATCTTCATCTTCATCCATTAACTTGGCAGTACCAGTTAAATTATAACAAGGTTTCTTCTCATTGTTCACAGTCCCAAAGAACATGTCGTTGATGAAATCAGTGAGGTCGGGGACATGTTCTTCGGCTTGTGCTCTGCGTCGATTCTCCAATGCTTGCTTCTGCAGCGAGGCCTCCCTGCTAAGTCTCCTATCCATGGAAGCAATGCCAGAGTGAGAGAAAGAAGACGGGATTGGACAACAATGAATGAAGAGAACAAGAGAGTATAATGTAAATTATGTTGAAAAACGTTGGTAATATCATAACGCACGAGGCAGGGAGGGAGGGTGGGAGCGAAGGAGTGAAACAGACGATGAAGTAATGTAGGCCGGCATTTCGGTTGATGTCTTTTTAATTGTTGTGTTTGTGGGTCAGGGTTTGTCTTTTCTTTTGTGCTATCTGTGTGTATCGAGGTTGACAGCGATGGCAAGCCATTCGATTCTTAGCGTTTCCCCCCTTTGTCCAAAGCACAAACTAATGCTAGATATGGACTAAGAGCCTGACGCCGTTTTCCCTGTGGTTTCGAGGGGGGATTTTTTTTTGTTTTTTATATATGCTCATAATTTACTTTGGAAACATAGCTTCTCTCATTCAATGTTTGCTTTGGGGGATTTTTTTTTTTTTTTTGTATTTATGCCTATAATTTACTTTGGAAACATAGCTTCTCTTATTCAATGTTTACTTTGGGACTCAAAATTTGACTTCGGGACACTGCCAATGGTCCAATGTAACATCTCAACATTGGCATATTGTGCTTCACACTTCGTTTTCTTCTCAGCCCCAAGAGTTAATAATTGTAGAAAGTTTTTAACAATTGGCTGAACAAATATTGGGTTTTGAAGGCTCAAAGTTCCCAGACCCATTGTTCTCTAATGTAGGTTGGGCTGTCCCATAAACTGAGGGCACAATTTGTAGCCATGGGTCTTGGAACTTTAAGCCTTCCAACGCCAATTTTTGTTGGTACAATCGAAACTTCTTATACTTTTTTTTTTCAAAAAAAATTTAGGAATTTTTATCACCTTTAAGGTCCATGGTCAAAATAAATCGTCAATTTATAAAATAATTTATAAATTTTAAAAAAAATTTCAAATTTACAAAGTGTTTATCAACAAAATATTATAAATATTCGAATCTAGACATTTAAACCCTAAATTTTAAGCACTTACACCATTTTTACTGACAAACTTCCCATAATTACCAGCTCTTGGGACGAGCCCCACCGAGCCTTCAACAAGGGATTTCAAAAGTCAACAGGACTTGATTCGGTCCAATTTTCTCTTTAGAATCATTTTATTTTATCCCTTATTTTTTTTGTTGAGGGGAAAATGGGAAATTCAAATTTCAAATATACGAATAGAATCCAAGCACATGTAAGTGTTATGATCTTGAAGTAAAATTAAAAATTTTATATTAATTATGCATTAGAGTTGATAATGAAATATAAATATATATATATTTTTTATGAAATATATTTTGTAAGATAAAATTATGAAATTAAAATAATTAGAATGAATAATATGTAATAAGAGTATGAATCGTGACCGTTAAGTTAATTTAAAATATTTGAGTGTATATTCGGGTATTGGAGTCACACGATCTTAAAAATTGAGTTTTGATAGGTGATAAGTAGTATAGTGATAAGTAGCATTAAAATTAGCTCTGAATGTACTAACGATATACCATCGAAGACATTGGGCTATCGTTTGAGTGAGAAAATATATTACAATCTTGGAATGAAGCTAAAAATCTCACATGAATTATGTATTAAAATTGATCATGAGATATAAAAGTTTATATCATGTGAGTCAAAAAATAATATTTCATAAAAATATAAATCATGATCGTTAACTACTCTAAAATACTAAATAAATGTATATTCAAATATTAAAATTATACGAACTTAAAAATTGAGTTTCGATCCATAACAAGTATCAGTAAAGTTTAAATTGATTAAATTTTCAATTCTAATAAATTAATTCAGATATGACGTTTTTACGTGCAGCGTACGGAACTATTAACAAAAACAGGCTTAAAGGACGTGCCAATGCTTTTATCGGAAAAGAATTCGTACAGTATTATATACCTTCAATATAAAATTTGATCATGTAATTGTTGCAATTTGGCTTTTGCTTACTTGGAAAAGGTGTTTTAAGCCCTAATTTTCTTCTTCTTTTTCACTTTTCCCAGACATTAGGGGGCAAAACGAAAAAAAATTAAAAATTATAGGGCAAATTACATCCAACTCCTTCAAGTTTTACTCTACTGACATTCAAGTCCTATAGTTTATAAAATTTACATCTTCCCCAAAAGATTCCTTCTTGCACTAAAAAAAAAAATAAAAAATCCAGCAGTTAATACACCGCCAGCAAATCTGTTAAAAGGATGACATAGCATCATGTGAGAGTGAGACTCAACTGCTGCCTGAAAATGCCCTTTATTTTTTTTATCATGCATTAGTCATGTGTACTTCATCAATTTAATAAAATCATACTCTAAATTGAAAAAAAAAAGTTAAAGAAAAAGGGAAGCATAATTTGTTTTAGTAAAAGATAAGAAAAAAAAATAACAATGACTTTCAAAATATTTGTATCAATATATATATATATCACAACAAGAATAGAAAATGCAACAAGTTATTATGGCTTCCAACTTATTATGTATACCAATTTGTATCAAAAAATTAGAAAATGTAATAAATTTTATTAATTAGATATAATAATTTATGTATTCGTGTTATATTTATATTTTATTTATATATATATATGACATGAATAATTAAATATGTTAAAATTAAATTTTCAAATACATGATGCATTTATTATATGAATACATGTGACATAATATGATTAATAAGTTTAAAAGTTAATCCAATTAAAATTTTAGACCACACGAAACAATTTAACAAGATTAACCATCATGGTATATCAAGAATTATTTTTTATTAATAATATAATTTTAACACAAACAAAAATAAAATCATAACTTCATTATTCAAATTTGAAATTAATAATTATAATTTATAAAACAAATATACCAACACAACCGGTCAACTAATCTATGTATAAGTAGAATCTTAAATTTTATTATATATAAATGTTTCATACCTTATCTATAATAATTAAGTTATTAAAAAAAATCAAATCATAAATTTGTACATAACTCTTTTTTTTTTTTTTTTGTAATACTAACAAATCTAAGGCAATGGTCAATGAAGTGCTAAATATGAGATAGAATCACACTAACATTATATTGTAGTTATGTTACTAATATAAAAGCAAATGCATGTTAAATGGATATCATAATTAATTATTTAAAATATTTTTTATATATTTATATTAAATAAGCAATTAGGTATCACATTGAAAATTAAAAATAAATTTGATATCCTTATATTAAATTTAAATATGTATGAAAATCATGTTAAATATATTAAACATGAACTGGTTTGACATAATTCAATTAAATGAGTAATACATGTTTTTTCAAATATGTTTAAGATACAAAGATTATCATATTAAAATTCGTATCGATATAATTAAATATGAAATACTCTTTTTGTAAAACTCAAATATTATTTTTTATATAATATTATTATATTGTGTTTAAAAATACTAAAATTAATGTCACTGAATTTATATTTTGGTAGCATTTTAAGTGAAAAAAAAGAAAAAAAAAACCATAGTAAAAATGCTTTGTTCCAATTAGGATCACAACCGCCAAGTCAACATAGCATTGGTAATTTGTAAAAAGATAATATACTTAATGCCTTAGTTTTCAAAATAAAAACTAGTATTATATACCAGCCAAATGGGTGTATGCTGGTAATTGCACATTTGCTGTTAATAACGATACGCTTATTGGAGCGGGTTGTACACTTCATAAATTATTGGACTTGGCTGTAATTAAGGGAAAAACCTGGAGCAGTTGCATGTAAATTGCCCAAAATTATGGTTTCAATTCGGCTTACGTTCCAAGAACATAAAGCAAAGTCAATGAATAAATTCAACACCAGACACATCACCCCAAAAGTCCAACCAGCCTGTCTTTCTTACAAAGCCAATCCCCTTTTAAACCCGCCCCTTTATCATGTTAAAGGGGCATTGTTTTCTTTTCAAATGCTTAAGAAGGTGCTAAAGCAGATGCTTTGGGCCCTTTGACTTTTTCTGCAAATCAAATTCCCACTAAGAATTTTATTATTCAGGGTCTGCTTCTATATAAGTGCTCTAAATTTCAACTTGGTTCATCATCATCAAGGAATTTCATAGCCTCTCAAGTTGTTGGGATTAATTTGGTCTGATTGTTTATTCAAGAAGCAGGAGTATCGATGGCAGCTCGAGGTGTTGTTTTGGCTTCAATTCTTCTTTTTTCTTGCTTTTTGGAGACTTGCTGTGGGATGATCTCTTTCTCTTCCCTGCAAAGAACCCTTTTAGTCACTGCCTCTCATAGACAAGCACGTAAGTAATCTAATCTCCTCTCTCGAAATTTGATTTGGTTTCTCTCAAGAAGCTCTGATTATATTCTTATGAGTACATGAAACCTTCTTGCACTTAATCAGATACTAATATTGAGATTTTTTCTTTTAAGGGATGATTCCTGGAAAATTTTTTGACTCTTTGCATATATTAAGTTTTAAAAGTTATGGGTTTTACTTTAAGATTGTGAAGACAAATACTACTATAGAAACTTGTTTGATTTACCATTTTATAATCACCAAGGCAATAGAATAGAAAAAGGGGAAAACCGTTTTAGTAAATTGTAGTAATAGCAGATTTTTGTTACAGAAACATCCAAACTATAATTCGATTCTTAGATAATTGTTGATGAAGGAGAAGAGTCCATCTATGGAGTATGGACCATATTAATTGAGAATCTGATATGGAGAGTTGGCCCAACTTTAGGAAAAATGATATTTTGTCCACTTTCAGCTTTTTTCCACTTAGCTTTGTCTGACATTTCAACCTTGTCTGCGCCATGATACTGACTTGTAAACAAAACATTGCATCTTTTTTCTGGCTGAAAATGGGAAAATCAGCCTTTTATTTTTGTGGGTTCTTGTGATTGTTGGTTAAAATTTATGGGGTTATTGATTAAATTGTGCAGTTTTGAAAGCTGGTGAAGATAAAATCACAGTGACCTGGGGGCTGAACCAGAGTTTCCCAGCTGGGACTGACTCTGCCTACAAGACAATCAAGGTCCGGTTGTGCTATGCTCCAATTAGCCAGGTCGACCGCGCTTGGAGGAAGACCGATGACAATCTCTCCAAGGACAAGACTTGCCAGTTCAATATCGTGAAAAGGCCCTACAGTAACGGTAACCAAACCTTGGAATGGACCATCGAACGTGAAGTGCCTACTGCCACATACTTCGTACGCGCCTACGCCTTGGACGCTAATGGTAATGAAGTAGCTTATGGTCAAAACACTGACGCCAAGAAAAGCACCAACCTCTTCGACATCCAGGCAATCACTGGACGCCATGTCTCGCTCGATATTGCATCCGTTTGCTTCAGTGTTTTCTCTGTCGTCTCCTTGATGGGGTTCTTCATTGCTGAGAAGAGAAGGGCAAGGAAGTCTCAACAGTAGTGATGAGAAAATGCAAAGGAAATGAATGAAATTGAAACCCCCCCCAAGAAAAAACAAAATTAAACCATCAAATCATAATACTAGTGGGATTAATTTGCATGTTTCATGTTATTAAGCTTTGATGTAATGAGGGCATGATTTTGATTTGAAGGGTCCAGATGGAAAGGGTTGTGTTGTAGAGGAATGGGCAAATAAAGAATATTTTGGGGAATATATATATACATGGTTTTAATAGTACTAAAGAGTTGAGACTCAAATCATCTCCTCGTTGTGAAAGTGGGAAAATCCGTTTTGTTAATAGTGACATTAGTTCTTTTTTTTTTTCCTTCTTTTTAGGTAAATGTGGATTTGAATTCAATTTTTTAAGTAGGGGATATATACACTTATAATTACTATTGAACCAAGTACTTTACCTCTATATTTTACTTTCTTCTAGTTGCTAAAAGCCAAATTTGGTTTTAGTGTAGGATGAATCTCACATTAAGATCTTTTTGTACACAGGTGAGACAATATAACTTTTTTTACGAGTTTAATTTAGATTTGAACTTTTTTTTTTTTGAGTTAATTTGAATTAATTTAAAATTTGATTAATTTAAAGTAAATTGATTTGAATTGTTGATTTTTTAATCTAATCAAATAGATTGAATTTGAATTCAAATTAATTGTGCAAGTTAAGCTTTTTAAGTCGTATCAATGAGAACAAGCGATAACATGTTGTCATGAACATCTATACACCCGAATGCATCCACCAGGAGGACGCTCCTAAGGTAGCTTCAAGCACTTTGTCGTGAACTTCGTGAGAATCAATTGAATGTCCTCCTTCATGATCATGTCCAGCTGTGCAAACCTTCACACAATTGTACCGATGAATCACATCCATTACTTGGTCGTAATTCCATAGAAGCGCTTTCTGGATCTAAAGGCAGATCACAGCATATTTCTGTTTCAAATTTGTTGCATCCTGAAGTACACCATCTAGCCTTTCCATTTGTTCTTTACCAACAGCTCCATTGAGCATAAGGAACCTTCTGTCAAGGCCTTTCAGTCCCTCTGGACTGTTTTTATCTGAATTTGGGTTTTCTTTCTTTTTTTTTTTTTTTCTCAGGAAGTTCAAGGCCTCCAATGTATTTTGATGGTTATCAGGCCACCTGATTGTACTGATATCAAAGCCATCCATAGGCGTGAGCGTGACCACCGTCAAGATTTGGTATCTTCAATAAAGGAAGTAACTTCTCTCATGGGAGATTGTAAAGACAATGATTTCCAATCATGTGATAGAGATTGATATTTGACTGTGTCATCCAATCTTTAGAAAAATTTAAAAAATCTGTTATAATATACGAATAAAAATGTAAATTTAAATTTATAAAATATTTTTTATGAGATAAAATTATAAAATTTTTAAATTAAAATAAATAATATCTCAAATTAAATATGAATCTCGTAGAGACAATGCCCATCAACAATATCTCCAAAGTTAATCGCAAAATTAAGATTCTTGTGGTTGTTCCAGCTCTTGACTGCCCCTTTGCAAGACAAGAATACTATGTCAAGTGGCCATCAGGGATATCAGCGTACAGGACATCAAAAATAACTCCAAAGGAAAATAGAGGGTGCCTGTCTTGCCCATTTGCTGACCCCATGTGGAATTCACTCCTTATTCCTATTAAATTACCTAATCAATAATTAACATTTGCAAGGCTGAATTGAGAGATAAATGAGTAATGAAATGTTTCTTTAGAAAACTAAAAAGAAAAGAATTGTGCATTGATAATAGCTACCAAGTGAAGCAGCAGAGAATCGTCACCCAATCCACAGTCATCAGCCCATTAGTTAATGTCTAAAGCAATGCAAATGAATAAGTTCTTTTTTTTTTTTTCTACTCAAGACTGTCATCGAATCAATGAATCCAATACCCTAGTGATAGTTAATGATTGTACTTTGATCGAATCTAAAATCCAAATTCTATCAACAGAATTGACAATTAATAATTGAAGTTTGATCAAATTTAAGAATCCAATGCTCTGTCAACGTAACAAATCAAGTAACAAAGCTAGTTACTTTTTTGAATCATAAGCTTAGTGCTGGATTTATTAAACAAAGAAAAAACAATGGCTTCTTAACATGAAAATATTGGTTTCATGAGAGTGAGAAAAGAGAAATTAAGCAATAAACTAAAAGCATATAAACGACGGGAAATCCATTCTTCAACAAAGATATGGTGTGGTTTGTCTTTTCAGCAGAGAAAATCAAACAAATATAATGCAACAAAAGGAATGAAAGGGAATGTTAGGGGTAAAGAAGGACGTGCCCTTTTTTTTTTTTTTTTTTTTTGTTTCAATTGTGTAGAGAAACGAAACCTGCAACTCCAACAGATGTGTGTTGTTGTTGTTGCAGATTGTCAATGAAATGGAAAGGAGATGGAGTTTGATTGGAGAAGGTTTTTTCTTGCGGATGTTAACTACTTATTCCGCTATGGAATAAATAAAGAAATATAGGTCTGGAAAGTTACAAGACGCAGTTTGTTGCTGTCAGAATACGAATAAATAAAAACAGTAGGCTTTGTAGAAGTTAGGACTCTGAAGTCCCATAATTATAGCTTGGAATCCCATAAACCTAGGACCAAGATTTGGTATGTGTTTTATAAAAGAGGCCAATTTGCTGTATTAAATTTTTATTTCATACCCCAAAAATAAAAATAAATTTTTATGTGGTATTCATGGCATTTGATCAACAAATGGATTTGATCGAAATTGAAAATTCGATCATTCAAATAACCAAATTGAAATTTTGGTGACATTGTAGTTTGAGGCCACATCGAAGTTCAGAAATGATTTATTTTTAGTTTTTCAGATCAAAATGGAGTGAATTTTCGTTTCCAACAACTTAAATGAGTAGGACAACCAAACTTTAGAGTTATGTTGTATAGGATTGTCATGGTGTATGAGATTATTAGGAATTGAAGTCTCGAAGATGATTTCCTCTTCCCCTGTAGAACTAATAGCTATACAAATATCTATAAAATAAATCAGGATTGAATCCATTTGATTTCCTATATAATAAAACTAGCACTGACCCGCACTCAAAAGTACATTTTTAAGCAACTTGAGAGAGAGAAGGAATGTGAAGAATCTGAGTCACTGAAATTGTACAAGAAAATTCAGCTGTGAACCGCTGGGGGAGCAGTATCTCAATCCAAACCAACTCTGCTTGGAGGAAATTACATTCGATCAAAAACAGCTAGCATTCCAGGACCAGCTCAGCTTAAGACACCGGCTTTCCTTTACCATGTGGACCAAGAACCTGGTAGATAAGTTTCTCTGGCAATTCTTTCTTTGCCTGGAAAATAAGAATCTGAATTAGCTTAATCACTGAAACCTAGAAAAATAAAGATGAAAAAACCCCAACATATTAAGGTTCTGTTTTTCGATAGAGTTCTTTCTTGAGCAGGTTATTCCCACTTCTTGGATAAACTTCTTCATTTAAAAAAAAATTGGGGAAGGTGGGGGTGCAGCGAATGCTCACCTGAAAGTGTCTCATATGCAATATAGGCTCACATCCAACATCTGCAATAGACTTTCCTTGAGGGGTTTGCAACTTGAACCGTTCAGCTTCAAATGCTTTAAGGTTACTTCTTTCATCGGGCAAGTGGTGGCAAATTTTTAAGAGTGAGGTAAGAGAATTCATCTGGCAGGTGAGAGTTAACCAAATATGAGAAGTTAAGATGATAATCAGAGAATGAGATGTACATGTACCATGCTAACCTTCATGTATGGACAAGATGCACAGCCACCATGAATAGAACATCCCTCCCCACTTGCAACTCCAGGCACAACAGGGAGTATAACATCCCCCATTTTAACCGATTGAAGGACAGGGGAAGAGCTTGTAGATGTTTTTGTCATTGCGTCTGATGAGACCGGAAAGACAATTTCAACATTGATTTTTGCGCTAGAAGTTGACTTCAAAGAATCTAACAAACTGCGAACTGCTGCAACTATTGAAGTCACCATTCCTGTTTCTGTACCCAAGACAAACTGGAGGTGGTCATCAACATTTCTATCTAATGCCTCTTGAACCCTTTGTATTATGAAATCCAATATGTTTTGAGTGGAGCCTACAACACCCATTCCTCTTCTCTTGGCTTCCATTGCTAAAGAGAACATTTCTCCAGGAACCTCAAAATGTGCCGTTAGAAAGGCATCACAGTACATTTCATTTATCTTCTGTACAACTTCATGTCCAAAAAGGTGATGAACAATACATGTTCCATCCTGATAGGAAAATGTCACAGTATCAGCTATAAAAATTGAAGTAATTGTACCACTAAATCTGTAAATGCAAGATAAAATAAAGGGAAGACATACAAAGATCTCTGCAGAAGTGTTAAATATATGTAGAAATATCAGAGAAACAGATTCAACCAAAACAACAAACAGAAGATATTTTTTTTGTGGCCAATGCTCAGGATAAATGCACAAGGCTCACTCCCCCTCTGAGTTCATTTCACCAAAATGTCTATCACAATCATAGTTCTTCCATTTTGCATATTTTATAATGAAATTCCAGGACTTGATATAATTGAAGAAAGGAACAGTATATGAAAGGCAGAGAGATAGATCTTCCATGAAGTTCAGGTTTAATGGCAATGGGGAAAAAATAAAGATTGTTTGATTTCATGAAGTTCATAAGATAAACCATTTCAACGCATATTTTCAGCTCGTAAATAAATTCATAGGAATAATGTATTCAAATGCTTCATTCACTGTTCAGGTAATTCCTCTGTTTATTATCGACTTAACATATTTCAATAAACAATAAAACTCTATTTCAACCTAGCTCCCAAGAGACTTAGAAAAATGATATACCTCGTAATAGTGCAGGCGAGTTAGCAGTGATTGAATTGAGTCTCTATTATGTTCTGGGTGTATTTCAGCAATTTCCTCATCAGACATCAAAGTCATCTGCTGGAACAACTCTTTAATATTTGCACCCATGTAGGAATCAGGCCCATACCATATGTTTAAGTCTGGAATTTGAGCACAAGCCTGTGGAAACAAGAGAAGTAATTAAGATCAGATACCTTAAAACAAAAACCAAAGTACCTTATGATAAAGGAGCAGAAAGGGAATGATGCTTTCAATACCACCGACCTGCAGAATAGTTTGCACAACGTTTGAAGAAGTACAAGTGATTGTTGGTACAAGCTCATGCGAATAAGCTTTTGTTTCTAGCGAAGTATTAATGTAAATAACGTGCAAGGAAGGAAGTGAGTTACAAGCTGACTCAAGATAGTTCATATAATCAGGAGTAGCAGCAGCATCAGCCAAAGAACAACCAATGCGTTCATTTGACATCCTGTACACTGCAACCTGCAATTGAATTATACAAAGAAGCAAATCCATGAATGTCATTAGTGCTTTGAAGCTGACACCAGAATACATTCAGCTCAATACTGGATAAAGCAAGCCATGTGCCAAAGAAAAACAACAGTACAATAACTTAACAATTTCTTTTCTTGCATTATTGTGCATACCATTAAATTTTAGATAATACAGCCTTATATTTTACTATATTGTATGTCCAAAAACAAGAGAGTACTCTTAGATAGACCTGACAATTTTAAACATGACACGATACGAAAATAATAACTAAAAAGACATAAAAGCAACATGGTTTAAATTTTTGACAAAAATTGTATGTGGGTTTGGCAAACACCAAAAAAATATATTTCATGTTTGATGTGTTGACACGAATTGTGAATGGTCATTTTCTTGTTTTACACGCGTTTGAAAACAGACTCAAACAGACACAACATGAATGCACAAATTGCCATGTCTACTCCCAAATGTAGAGTCCATAAAACTATTGATGGTTTCTCATTAGTCATTAGTAAGCTTTTAAAAATAACTTCCCTAACATATGACCGTCCTAGTGTTTTATTCAGGCTCTTCTATTATTATAAGTTATTGATCCTCAATTAGCTATATAGGTACTGCTTTGCATTTAATTGGGAAAATAAAAGTAAAGAAAATAATATACCTCTCCAAAGCCAGCTTGATCAAGAATAGCACGAACATTTTCTGACATAAAATCCACACCCAAAACAGTTATGAATTTACATCCAGCTTTTGCCATCTTGACAGCTGCATCTGCCATGACCAAAGAGTCGGATATATGAATGTGAGGCCACTCCTTCTGGGCAGCAGTTAAGATGCCTTGCACTTGAGGATCCATGTAAAAATGAGCAACTACACCAATTTTCTTCTCTTTCAACACATTAACAAGTTCTTTGACCTTTAACTCATCAGGGAACAAATATCTTGCCTGCAATTCAACTAGAATTGAAACTTAGGATCTTAATACCACCAGGAAAATAAATATCATGAAAAAGAAGACAAAAGGGTACTAAAATCAGTAAAAACTAACCTGAGCCTCGGCGTAGCTTCCTTTTGGCTGAAAACCCTCGGCCGTGATAACCAACGACGGAAACGGCTCAAACGGGGCCTTCCCTTCCTTTTGAGCAACCAAGGCCCTGGTTCGCTTCTGCATACTAACCAAAACATTGTACCATGTGTTCACACGAGACCGTTCCCCACCAGGCAACCCCACGTTAAGCGCCGCCAAATCCTCTGTTTTCAATCCCAGCACTTCCTCTGGCGCTGCCCCATCAAGAACCGAAACTAAACATGCGCAAAACCCTTTCGTGATCTCGGAATCGCTGGCGGCCCAAAATCTCATCTTCCCTTCAGAGTCCATCTGGGCATCGAGCCAAACTCGGGCCGTGCAGCCCATGACCCGGTTCGAGTCAGTCCGAGAGGAAGCCGGGAGAGGAGGTAGGAGAGAAGCATAGTGAAGAAGACGCTTGACACGGTCGAGAGGCTGTAAAAGGGATTGGAATTCGGAGACAAGGGCGGATAGTTTACGTGGAGGCAGATGAGCGGTCTGTGAGGGAGATAGGGTGACAGCAGAGCAGGACAAAGAAGTGGGCTTTGAAGGAAGAGACCCAGGAGGTGGAGATTGGATACATTTGAGAGATTTAAAGAAAGATTTGGAATGGGTTCTGGGTGTTTTGTGAATGTTAAAAAAGAGTGATCTTTGGGTTCGAGAGATACAAAACAAAGAAGAACAAGTAGAAGAACAAGTAGAAGAACAAGAAGGTTTCATGGCGATGGAAGCAGAGGAATTCATGAGAGAGAAAGAGAAGACCTTGAACTGCGGGTTAAACTGAGAGAGAAAACAGTCGTAATGGATGGATCCGCAGAGCAGAGAAAGAAGAGCCGTTTGTTAAATAAAATTTGAGGAGAGAAGCAGCGCAAACGGACACTACCAACCAACCTAAGAGCAAGCGGCATGTAGGCGCGAATTGACCGCAACCCATCACTCCAATGCTTCGTGCCTAGCCCTAGGGTGAGAAAAAAATAAAAAAATAAAAATTTTATATCTAAATTTATTTAAATATATTAAAAATATATTAATAATATAAAATTAAAATTAAAATTTTAAAAATAAAATCACATTCAAATTAAATAAAATCAAATCCTAAAAAAAAAAATAAATTCCAACAATTATCAATCCTATTTTAAAATTTTATATATTATTTAAAAAAATTAAATCAAATTTAATTCAATTTCATCAATTATCAATCGTATTTGTGCCTACTTCCATGGTTTAAAAATAAAAACTTTTGCAGCCCTTTGGAAGCTCCAAATTCCGTTCTTTTTTTTTTTTAATTTTCTTTTTCTTGGAAAGGGACTTCACATGCCCCCAAACGTGTTGATCTCTTGACATTCCCTTTCCTTAATAAAAGAATAAATATTTAATTTTTGCTATAACAAATTTTCTTGTTATAGGAGTTTTCATTGGAAGTTTTACTTGTATAAATAGATAATTTCAAAGGAGAGTTTACACTTTATCAACAAAGATTATGGCATATTTTATTAAGAGTATGTTCAAAATAAATAAAATAAAAAATATTTAAAAGGTAATGTGAGATTAAAAAAAATATTGTAAATATTTAAATTTAAAATATAAATTTAATGTAATATTACAAAAAATACAAATTTATCAAATATCATTTTTAAAGATGAGTAATGAATAAATTGATTTAAATCTTAAATTTAACTTTTTAGGGTACTTTTTTTATGAAAAAATTCACATAGTCAATGGACAATTTCTAATTTTTGACAAAAATATTTAAAAAAAAAAAACTACTCACTTTTTTTTAAAATTACCACATTTTAATCACATATCTTTTTCTTCTTTTAAAATATTTTGTTATAAAAACACCCTTAATAAATGGGATAATTTTAGTAACATCTTTTTCAAAACTTAAATTTATCTTTAAATTCGTTATTTTACTAATTATCTAATTGAAAAAAATATTATGTACATATATTTTTTCAAAATTATTTTTTTAAAATATTAATTTTAATAATATATGAATCCCTAAATTTTAGTAGTACTTGATTTGTGGAAAACAACTTTATTGAGAAGTTGGGAGGTTAACTCTCACCACTAAAACTAACCTCCTTAATTTGGAAATAATAAGTAATTAGATTATGCCATCCATTTTCAAACGTATCTCTTACTTTCATTATCCCAAAAAAAGAAAATTACAAAGAAACGAAATATGGATGTCTCCCTGTGAAATTTCTGTCGTTTCCTTTTCCAATTCAAAGGTGCCATAACTTTTTTTTTTTTTTCAAAGCGGGACGTGGCGCACGGGACAATGACAGTTGACGAAGCAGCTAAGGGTTCGTGTATTTCAACCTATTTTGGTACCAAAGAAGGAGAAAAGTTCATTTGGAAGACGGCAGGGACAGAATCTGATCTCCTGTCAAGTCCTCAATTGCAAGTTGTGGGGTTGTTAACTGCCTCGTGACTTCCTAAACTTTTGTCTTCATCCGAACAGAGAGAAGAGATGTTCGACCTTGATTTCCATTCTGTTCCTTCCTCCCAAGTTCCTTGGTCAATATGAATAATTTTCCCATTGAAAGTTCGCACCCCATTGATGACTATGCTTTAGGACTTGCTTTTTTCCATGCTTTTTTTCTTTCTTGGTGCTCACTTTATATAGAAAATGAGTCTGACAATCAAAAAGTTTGACTCAAATTCTCCACAGGGGGATGATTAATTGCTGCAAATTAATTACAATACGAAGCACATTGGATGGAATAAGTGAAGAGAGATTAGGAAAATAACAACTTTTTTAATAAATCTTAAATTTAATCAAAATAATATGGAAACTTTGCTATAATTTTGGGTGTTCTGTGATGTTTATAGTTGCTGCAATAATTATATATAACAGATCCATTGTGTGATTTGTTGAAAAAAAAAGGGACTTTTGCAATGATTGACTTGCTAGGGCCAGTGTCCCTGTAGCAATAGCGACTACCTCTTTTTTTTCTTTGAATAGATTAATCTCTGAGTGCCCACCATGTGATTGGAGGTGAAGCTGACGTATCTTCTACTTGTTAGTCTTAAAGGCTAGCTATCGAGACTCGAAGGTGCCTGAAATTTGGCCACACCCTAGATTTGAAACCAGGGGTGACAAGCTAGTGACTATTAGGCCAAAGTTCTTGGTTCTGTTTCTGCTTTGTTAGACCTTTCAAATGTGGAAAATTGTTCAAGGGCACCCAGGGTCTTGACTCTTTTGTGATCAGAAAACAATTTCCGGCAGAATCATACAGATGCATAACTGATGTATCACAAACGGGTCATGTGGGCCTAAAGTTATTGAAATCTCTTTCATGGTGGTCATTCTATATTTCTATTGTTTGATCTTATGGGATTGTCAGGAATTGCTGGAGTCTTATGCAACAAGGTTGCTTTGATTAATGGTTCCCCTGAATTTTTGAATAAAAGGGCAATATGTTTCAAATGTGGATTGTCTTCCGAGAAAAAAGCTCACAGGCCATAGCATTAAAGAGAAAAGACATAATCCAATAAATGGAAACAAGTTTTTCATGAGTTTCAGCAATATAAATACCAAATCACATCATCCACCCCAAAGATCTTTAGCAAACAATGGATTACAGGTCTATGCAAAAGAATGCAGCATTGGTACAAGATGAAGGGGTACTTTCTTGCGAATTACGAGAGCATAGTAATCGTCCATGTCTAAATCCTCACAGCGTCCGGAATCAGGCAACTTCCAATTAAACCAGTACAAGAGGTTGGCCAAGACATATTCAGCTCCTGCAACAGCAAATGAAATTCCAGGGCAACCTCTTTTTCCAGCACCAAATGGAGTGAACTGATTGTGTTGGCCCTTAAAATCAACTGAACTGTTCAAAAACCTCTCCGGGATAAATTCTTCAGCCTTGTCCCATAACTTGGGATCCCTTTGAATAGCCCATGTATTGACCAACACTATTGTTTTGGGAGGAATATCATAACCTTCCAACTTAGTAGCTGTTGAATTTTGTCGACTGACCATAACAGGAGCATGTAGTCTCAGACTCTCTTTGATAACACATTTTAAGTAGTTCATTTCATTGACATCAGTCTCTGTGAAACTTGATTTTTTTCCCACCACTCTTCTTACTTCTTCTTGGGCTTTCTTCATTATACTGGGATTTTTCACAAGCTCTGCCATTGCCCATTCCATTGTCGCTGCTATATTATCGGTTCCTCCAATAAACATGTCCTGTAATCAGGATGAGAATAATGTTTTAGTCCCTTAATGTGTGACTTTTTATGCACATGGCAATTTGTGTGTGTATGTGAGAGACAAAGAGGGAGGGGGAGAGAGCAGTACCAGTAAGATTGCCTTGAGGTTTTCTTGAGTAAGACCGATGTCAAGCATGCCATTCATCTGAAGATGAAGAAGAATATCAGCAAAGTCTTTGCTGTCTGATTTATCATCATCATCATTCATCATAACCAGGTGATCCTCTATCACTTGATCAAGAAAAGTATGCAATTCACTGGAAACTTCTTCCAGTTTTGAAGTCAAACCAGTAAGAACATCCATCCATCCCAAATAGGGAAAGAAATCTTTAAAGCAAAAGGCTCCTATAAGGTCCATTGCCTTCCTTGATAGTTCTCCAAAACCCTTATTTCCATCTTCTCTTTCATATACGCGACCAAGGACAGATCTGCTGATGATGTTGTTTGCAATGTTTTCAAACATTTCACAAAAATCAATTGCAGATCCACTATGACACAACTGGCGTATACTCTCAATCAGTCTTGAAACTTCTTGTTCCCTCACAAGCTGAAACGTCCGAACCCTTCTTTGGGTTAACAGTTCTAGAACACAAATTTTCTTTGCCTGTCTCCAGTAGTCACCATAAGGACAAAATGCTATGTCAGTGCATCCAGAGAAGAGAGTATTGACAACCCGTATTTGAGGTCTTTCTATGAAAGCATCGTGTGACATCAAGATCTCTCTTGCTATTTCAGCAGATGAAACGACAGTGTTGGACTTTGTCCCAAATGCAAGAGCATTAGGGGGCCATATTTCTCAGACAGGGTTCGGAAGGATCGGTAGGGCAGTTTCCCCACTTGGTGAATGTTGCCAATGATTGGCAACTTGGGTGGTGATGGTGGGAAATTGAGCTTCCTACTTCTTGAAAGCTTAAACAAATACACAATGTAGAATACAAGAGGAAAGAAGATGACAGGATTGAACAAAGCAGTTACATTAAACTCTTGCCACAATTGTTGCAACAACATTTCTAGACTCATGATCTTTTTCTCTTCAGTTCTACAACTGGCATGAACATGAACTAAAGCTAAAACAAAGAGATTTAACATTTCTAAGAATTAATGAAGAATTGAAGATGATAATAATAAAGTAGTAACAAAAGGGCAAAAAGATGGTCCAGTATTTCCGCATGGCCTTCCACTATCAAGCCTTAAACAGAATAAAAAAAAATAGAAATACTGTCACATGGATCTTGAACTTTGAGTTTAAAAAAGAATTTGGGAACGATAATTCTGGATCTTTGTTTTCAAGGATATAAAAATTTAGAGCTTTATGCCATTAGATCTATCAATTTGTATATTTATGTATGTTTATTTTGTATCATACATGTGTAAAATATGAAAATTATTTTATCACAATTTATGTTGAAACATTATGAAATATATTTTGATTTTTATCAAATTTATATACGATTATTATTAAAATTTTAAATTATATCACTTTTACATTATATATTGTATTTAAAATTATCAAATTCATCTCTTCCTATGCATTTAAGAGAATCGCAATGGTCAAATCTATTAAATAAATCTGAATCCGTTAGGTTTAGTTTCGATTATGCAACACAAAACATTGATTAATAGCATAAACTGTGCAACTAAGAATTAATAAAGAGCAAAGATTTGGCGTTTCTATTTCATGTGGAAGGTCCAACAGACCATATAATGGAGACATGAATTTGGCTGGTTCTCAACATATTACTCAAAAATGGTCATTGACCACACAGTTTCACTTTGGTGCATATCTACGCTTCTTCTCCCAATTGGTCTTTGAAAAAGATTTACTACAATCTAATACAAGAAGAATTAATACATATATCTGGGAGATCTCTTTCAGATCAAGAAATTATGCCTTAATTGTTAAGATACTTCTTGATCAATATCTCAAAGAAGATCATACCAATAGCAATGCTTGCTGGTCAAGCAAATGCTTTTATGAGAAATTCTGAGAAATTCAGCAACTCCTCTCTTCTTGGGATAAATTTTGGTTTTTTTTTTTATTTATTTGTCGTTGATTATGACTTAAGATCTGTTTGATCCGGTTGAAACTTTTACAAAAATTTTTATTTGATTAGAGTTGTTCTAAAATTAAATTCATTAAAATTAAGGTACAAAAGATATGATATAATAGAAAATCAAGTTCAGACTTTGATTTAATTTATATTATTTATGTAGTATGATTCTAATTTGATTTGCTGTCTCTTAAATCTTGTATGCTAACAAAAAAAATCAAATTAAAAAAATATTTTTAAGACGATATTGCTAGAATAAAAAACAAAATCATTAAAAAGACATAAAGATTTGATTTAGAACAAAGTTCCCCCTTTCCCTTTTGAAATAGGGCTTTGCCTTCCTTTGGAACTCAAAAAAAAAAAAAAAAAAGGTCCTAGCACTGATGGGTCATAATCAATCAAATTAAATAGAATTTTGGAAGAAATTATTACGTAAATCCTTCTTATTATTTCAACAATAGATTTAAATTTGATAATTTATATATTTATAGTATATTTGTATTATATTAAATAAATATAAATTATAACAAATTATTATATCAAATTCATATCATTATTTTAAATATAAAATATATCCTTTGTTTTTATCAAAACCTTCTTCACTCAGCCGTTTATCGTAACGTTTTCTGTTCTTTTCTCTTTAATCGGTGGATAGAATTAGTTTCAAACGATTATTTAATATAATTAAAAAAGTTAATTTTTAAATAATTTGATTTATAATTAAATTAATCAAAATTTTAATTAAAATATAATAAAACTCAAATATAAAACTCAAAATATATGGAGTATAGTTTTATTTTATAAGTTGTTAACTTTTTAAACTTTAATATTTTAATATTTAAATATTTTGTTGCATAATTTTATTTAATTTATTTTAAATATTTAAAATTTAAAATATAATATAATATAAATTTATTTTATTATTTAATTAATTAAAAAATTAATCGAATTAAATTCGATTGATTAAAATTTTCAAAATTAATAAATTTGGTTCCATTAATAAATAATATAATTCATTTATTTTATTTTAGATAATTTAATTTAAAATCAACCGAATTAAAATCTCTATAAACTTCATAATCTTAATGTATTTTCTTATGAATCTTATTCTATTATCATGATACTAAAAAAGTGGACATATTCAAAATATAAACTTTGGTAAGACGATCTGTTAAAATTTAGGCTCAGTTAATGGGCCGACTTTTAATCCATTTTGGAATCTTTCTTACCAATCAAATATTGGGCCTCAAAGAACGCATATTCTTGTCAAGAGCATTCCGTTTTTATTTTGTTCTGAGGCTATCAATAGTAAGTGTTAAGATTTTTTTTTTTAATTTTTAAATTTGAGAAAATGATCAGTATTTATGATAAAATTGTGAAATTTTGATGCATACGTATGAATAAAATGTGGAAACTACTTGATTTTTTTTTTTTTTTTGCATATATAGAAGGTAAAAATAAAAATTCATATTGTTTTATATAATGAAAATAATTGTTTGATTTTATTTTTTCATTATAAAAGTTTGTAATTTAAATTATTTTATATATGCTATTGATTTAAACTTTGTGCATCATATATATTTGTTAAAAAAATTAGATAATATATCATGTTAACTTGTCTAATATATGATGGTTATAGAAATGTTTTGTCTTAATTTTACTTAATTGTTATTTTATATCATAAATAAATAACACTGTAATAAAATTATTTAAAAGTAAAAAAAATCATAAACTAACGTAGTTTAAGTTCTTTTTTTTTTAATTAAAATTTCATGTTGGTTAAAATCTATGTTCACTAATGCTGTGAAATGATGTCATGATTTATTGAATCAATCTCAACACATTGACAAAGTCTTTGAATGCACAAAGTTTCGAGAAAAAAAAAATTACCGCCTTTGAGTCAAGACTTCATTTGATGTATTCGATGGTTAACTTTGCAAGGATATGCTTTTAGAGGACATGATGAAACCTATTCTTCAAACAATTGAGGGAATTTTCTTGAATTGATTACATTTGTAGCATATACAATGATAAAGTTGCAAGAGTTGTTATGGAAAATGCTCCTAAAAATGCTAAATATTTATATGCTCTTGCAAACTAAAAGCGCAATAATATTTTTTATAATGTGAGATTTTAAATCTTGTATTATTATTGATTAGGGATGTGATGAATAAAAAAAAAGAAATGGTCATTGTTTTGAGATATGTTGAAGATAGAGAGTTTATATAATAAAATTTATTTATTTTAAAGATGAGATAAACTTCCTTGCTTTTAAAATTTTTTCATGAAGAAAATGTTTATTTGATCGTCCTATTCTTTCTTGGCATTGTCTAGAGAAATAAACCCTAGCTTTCTTTTTGTTTTTTAGCCGTTAGGGAAGTGACATTTGGAAAAAAACCTTCGTAACATATGTCCAAGAACACGTATCACATGAAAGAAAAAGCCATCACATTCTGAAATTAAAAACATTAGTAAATTAAAGATTTTTGCATGGTAGCATACAATTTCACACTTGCTAGGCTGAGGACACCGACAACAACAACAGTTTATTCAACAATGAATTCTCTCAAAGAAAATCATGCAGGAGCTTGAAATCACAGTATTAACGTACAAAGCAAGGATCTAAACAGATCGAAAATGAGATACAGGTAGAACATGGAGAGGGACTTTCTTGTTGACAGTTAGCCCGTATTGTTCAGTCATGTCCAAGTTCTGGGCAATTTCACCGGCAAGCAACTTCCAGTCAAACCAATAAAGAAGGTTGGCTACCACATACTCAATAGAAGCAACTCCAAATGGCATCCCAGGACAGCCCCTTCTTCCAAAACCAAATGGGATGAACTGGAAATCTTTACCTTTGAAATCGACGAGGCTATTCGCGAACCTCTCTGGGATGAACTCCTCTGGTTTGTCCCACCAATTGGGATCTCTCTGAATTGCCCATACATTGAAAAGGACTGTAACATTGGATGGAATATCATAACCTCCCAATTTAACACTTGCGGATGTTTCTCGAGGAACCAGGAGAGGTGCAGCCGGATGTAATCTTAATGTTTCTTTGACGACGCATTTTAAGTATTCCATTTTAGTGATATCATCCATATCTACCTTGGATTTCTTTCCCACCACATTTCTGACCTCTTCTTGGACCCTTTTCATCACATTTGGATGCTTCAGGAGTTCGGCCATCAACCATTCTATTGTTGTTGAAGTGGTATCAGTTCCTCCAACAAACATGTCCTGGAATTTTCAAAACAAAAGAATTCAGATAAAAGTTCAAAAGGAAAACAAAAGGAGGATAGGAGGGTAACAGAATTGAATGACCAGTAAGACTGCTTTGAAGTTGTCTTGAGTGAGGTCCATTTCCAGCATGCTATCCTTTTGGAGTTGTAGGATAATAGAAACAAAGTCCTTGTTTTTGGTGACCTCGTCCTGAGTTTTCAAAGTTCTATGCTCCTCAATTATCTGATCAAAAAGCGTATCTAATTCTCTCGAAACTGCTTTTAAACTTGGAATAAATCCGGTAATCATATCAAGCCACCTCAAGTAAGGAAACATATCACCAAAACAGAAACTCGTGAAGAGAATCATTACTCTTCTTGATAACCGTCCAAACTTGCTGCTTCCATCTTCTTCTTCAGCTTTCCGGCTGAGAACGCATCTAGAAACAATGTTATTTGTGATGACCATTAGCATCTCTGTCAGATTAATGGACTCTCCTTTAAGAGAAGCGTTGCTGAGTTTGTTGATAAGAACTTCGACCTCTGCGTCTCTGACAAACTGAAACGAGTGTACTCTTCGATGGCTGAAAAACTCGAGAACGCTGATCCTCCTAAGTTGTCTCCAGTACTCACCATAGGGTGCAAAACCAATATCACTGCATCCATAAAGCAAGATATTTGCTGCTGTGGTCCTTGGTCTGTTTGAGAAAATAATATCATGATTTTTGAAGATTTCTCTAACCATCTCGGCTGATGACACCACTAGAGTTGGATTATGCCCCAATTGTAGAAGCAAGAGAGAGCCATACTTCCTAGAAAGCTCTCGGAAAGATCGGTGGGGAAGTTTGCCCAGCTGATGAATGTTGCCAATAATCGGCAACTTTGGCGGTGATGGAGGCAAATTTAGATTCTTCCTCTTTGCTAATTTAAGCCAAATCAGAAGGGAGACAAGGAGAATAAGAGATAGAAACAATGGATTAATATTGTAAAGTTTAGCTACATTCATCTCCATTTGCAAATTTAATCATGAAACTGACTACTTCGGCCCTTTAATATATAGCCTACAGCCTACCATGCATGCTTACATGTTAGCTTTATTTTCCACTCCGTGATTCAATCTATTTGTCATCATGTATACTCAACTATTCATGGTTGACATTTTTAAAAACTCAAATCCAGCGTAATTATATAAAATAATATAGGTTTTATATATTTTCATTAAATTATTAGATGTCATTTCATTTATACACAAATATAAATTTTTATAAATTTTTAAAATAAATATATAAAAATTTAATTTTTTAAAATAAATTTTAATTAATGAGATAACATCATATATTTTATGGATTAATATTTCATACACTGATAGTGTATCACTTCTATTCACTGTCAATGAATAATATAATGATATCTCATTACTGAATAAAATTTTAAATTTTCAATCTCTTAAAAATAAATATTAATAAATTTATTTAAAATTAATTAATTATAATTAAAACTTTTCTCTTTTTTGTCATCTCTCTGCATTTACCACTTCCCTCTTTTGATTTTTTAATTCTTTTTATTAGGTAGGCTTTCTGCCTTAGTCAAATTTCATGATTTTAAGGTGATTTTATTGAACTTCACTTCGAAATTTTCATTTTTATTTGTACTTTTGGATATTAATTTTGAATATTAGGTGTTGAATAACTTTATCTACTCTTAATTTTCACCTTTTTAATCTTAAGGTTCTGTTTATTTATAGTATTAGTCTTTTAATTGTTGTTTACTATATTTCGATAAATTGTAAAGGAACGATTTATTTTTGCTTTTTTAATCTTAGAGTTCTGTTTATTTGTAAAGGAATGAATTATAATTAATTAATCTTAAATAAATGTATTAATATTTATTTTTAAGAATTTAAGAGTTTTAAATTTTATTTCATTAATAAAATGTCATTGTATTATTTATTGATAGTTATAAAAATGATATACTGTTAATGTATGAAATATTAATTCATATTTTATTATTAGTATATACAATTTATATACTAATAATACATCAAACATAATAATTTAAGAAATAAACATTTATATTTAGTTATTAATGTGATAAAATCAACTTATATTTGTATAAATTTTTTTTTAATTTTACACTTCTTTTAATTATTGACAAGTTAAAAAATAATTTAATTACATCTTTTGGATCTATTTAAATCAATGATTAAAAAAATTTTACACTAATATTAATTGATTTCTTCCTTTAATTAATATTTAAATAACTTTTAAAACACAAAAATATTCACCTCGTGCAACTTACGAGAAATTAAATATATATTTTTTAAATCGTACTCCGATATTTAAGGAAAAATAGATTCTGTATTGATTGAATAAAGACGAGGTTGATGCGTACTCAATTATTAAAAACACAACAAGACTAGGATTCTATTGGGAGCCAGTCATCTCATCTATGAATCGAATTCCTGGTTGTTACATACTTAATTATTAAAAACACAAGAAGACTAAGAATGTAGTGGAAACCAGCCGATTCATCTATGATTTTATTTTTCAAAAGTAATATTAAACAAATTATTTAATTATTGACGCTGAAAATGTGGAGAGATGCCAAGAGCTTTGGAGGGCATATATCACCTGCTCCTTCTTGTCTCCTTTTGCCATTTTTTTTAATAAATAAAAGCTTGCAGTTTAATTTCTTTTATCAAAATTATATAATATTTTGTTTTATAAATAAGTTAAGGTTTTGAAATTATGAGATTTTAAGTTCAAATTTTATTGTAAGTATATATGATTTAATTTTATATTAAAAGTTTGTTAATAGAATATTAAATTTTAATTTTAATAATTAAAATTTAATTTTTAATAATTTTAAATATTAATATTAATATATATTTATTTGTCCTAATACAAACTGCGAATGCCGCGTGGCTTGTGCGAAGTTATGGATGATTGCCATTTGTCATTTGCCATACCTAAGCTCCAAATTGGCCATGCCAGGTGGCTTGTGAAAAATTATGGCTGATCGCCATTTGCCATTGCCTCCACCCGTGAAGTTCTAAGCATCATTAGTTATTTTCTTTTATTTTTTTAAATATTATTTTGAATAAAAAATTAATTCAATTATTAATACAATTAATTTTTAAAATAATATTCAATATTTTAAAATTTAAATCTCATTTTTTTTAATTTTTTAATTTTTTAAAATTACAAACTTCGTAAAATAAAAATCATTTTAGCCCAACTTGATTGGCTTCCAAATTTTTGTCATATTTTTGCAGCGGTCCACATTTTTCTCTTTTTGCACATTAAAAACTTTTTTATAAAAAAGAGAGGATTCTAAACTTATAAAATTTATTCTTCATTATAATCATTATCAAGTAATTAAAGTCTTGATTGATATTAACAACTGAGTCCTTGATTATTTGGGCCTTTTTTTTTTTTTTTTGTCTTTTCATATGCTAGCTTTTGCACTGCCAAAATAGCTACTGTAAAACCTCTTGGCTCTTATCGCATAAAAGCCAATGCTTTTACAAACATCATGCATTGCACAATCATCTTTGATAGTATTTAATTATATATATATATATATATATTTATCAATACAAGTATATTATAGTCTCTTACCGAATTTGGCTGCAATTTCTTCGCAACTTTGATAAAAAATTAATCATGATTTGAGGGTTACTTAGGATAATAAAAATTGTATCAAGAAAAAAGATCATGCTATCAGATTTGATCTCTTTCCTATTTTGTTTCTCCTTTTTTTTTTTTCTCTCCTCCACAATGTCAAACCTCTGTCTTCCTTTATAAAAAATTAATCTGGTACTTTTTTATTTGTATATATTTTTTTAAATTTTCTTTATGATTTCATTCTAAAAAATTTGCTTCTATTTAGTGGATCAGACTTGGATTTCTTTTGAATTTGGTTTGTTTTTAAATTTTTTTTACTTTTTGTTTCTTGCACGTTACTTTCTCTTTAATTTTACTGATTTTAATTGTCACCGCGAGTTAAATCCTTGAAGAAATTGAAATTTGAAATTGGGATGATGCGATTATATAAATCATATCGCAAGGTCAGAGCTGGAAATCCTTATGAAATAAAAGAATTGTAACTTGTAACTTGGGCAAAAGGATTTTCTCAAGATTGGACAACAGCAATTTAGGTCTTTTTTTTAATGAGGTTTTTTATTTGGGCTTGTGAAAAGTCATGATTCCTGAAGTAGCTAAGACAGAGTTAGGTTTTTTGGGGCTTCAAAGTAAATTTTTTTTTTTTTTTGGAAACTGTTAAAGTAGATTTTGAAGGGAACGCACATGAGTTTATGAGGTAAGAAACTGTAAAAAAGTGTTCATTGCTTGTAATCCATAAAACATGTCTAACAGTTAATGGAATTATTGCATGTTTTTTTAAGAAAGCTGAAACATTAGAAAGTTGGTGAATTCCTGAAAATTCTACCTCTAATGTAGATTTGTGTTTTGTGGAAAAAGTAAAACATGGATTCAGTCTTCTAAGACTGAAACTTTAACCTTAAAGATAACCAATTACAAATGTAATGAAAAAATAACACACTTTGAATTTAATTATATGAAGATCTATATTCAACTTACGAGATATTATTTATTTTTTATTCGAAGGTTTTGTGATTTTATTTCACAAAAAACATCTTACAAGTTTATGTTTAAATATTTACTTATATATTATAGCAGATCTTTATACATCATAAATTTTATGTATTGTATCTTACTATGTTTATATTTTTAGATTGATTTTGTTTTTATTAATTATTTATTAGTATACTTTTCTTCAATTAAATAAAAAAGTTATATATTTTAATTTTTTAATTATACTAAATAAAAAAAATTATAGTGAAGCAAGGGCATCATACTAGTGTATATAAAAGTAAACTCTTGATGTTATTTAATTTACTTATTATAGACACCAAATTTATTCGAAATTTTAATTGGGTCTTGGTTTAGAATTCATCGGATTTATCGAGTTCTCGAGTCAAAGCCCGATTTCGATTCAATTGAGCCCAGGACCTATTTTCATTTCTTAGGTCCAAACCTACTTTTTTATTTTTACTTTTATTGTATTTTTAATATTAAAATCCATTAACATTAAATATTAATAATTAATCAAAAAATATATAAAAAAATTAAACAAACAACAAATAAAAGGGTAAAAAGGCTAGTAGCAGTGGATGCCATGCACGATACCATTGGCCACCTACCCCCTGCAGACCCTAAATCCCTTGAGACTTGTGCACCATGCCCCTCGCAGTCATCAGACATACCCTACCCACACAACCACCATGCCCCCTTGCACCACCTACCCTAAACTCCCCTAAACCTCCACTAGCCACCACTTGCCTCTTTCAAGTCGGATCTATAAAAATCTATCAGAAAATCCCTTTATAGAACCTAGACGAACTCTAGCACAATTCTTTTCTTCCATGCACCCTACTGGGCACCAATGCCAAACATTGAAATCGCACCCTTCATTGCGAACCAACCACCTGGGCCAACTCTTGCGAGCACCACCCAAGCCACTGACCAACACCAAAGCCCCTCTTCAACATCAAAAACTAAAAAACCCACGTACTAGTCCTTTTTCGAGAACACACAAGCACCAAGCACTGAAAGAAGTCTTCGCCCAACCCTTCCACCTAGCCAAACCCATGCTTGCCAGTCCTACAATCTCCTTCGAGCCCAAAACTCGTGTGCACCAGATCCGTTCCATCTACCTAACTTCTTGACCCCCATCACCTACACCCACTCACCTAGCGTACACATCTAGCATCTTACCAGAATAGCCCAACCTTTACCTACTACGTCGCCAGACACTAGTCCCAAGCCTACTTGATCAGCCTTATATTTAGCCAGCCTCCCCTTTGACCATCAGACCCATTCATAACCTTTGCACATGCAAGACCCAGCTTCGTACACCCACAGCCCGTATCTATGCCCATTTTCAACTAGCCTTACACCTTAAACCCCCTTTAAGACCAACCACCACCAGCAACCCTCCCTTACCACTTCACCTTAAGTCAAAATCGATAGCCAAAAAAAAGTCAAAAAGAAAAAAACATATAGAGCATCATCACAGTCTTCCCTAAAAA